CCTCCAGTCTCCTCTCGGGATCTTGGGCACGCACGCACATGCGCCCGGCGTGAGATTTAAGCCACCGGGGCCGAGACGCGACCCACGGTCGACTACGTGGGAGTCCAGCGACATAGCCATTACACTAACTGCTGGTTCCCCGGGTGGGTAGTTTTTATATCCTAAAAACAAAGCATACTAAATGGCAGTTTGGAGTCACAGTCATGCATTTAATGTGTCTTGAATATTTTAAATTACTTCTACTATGTCTTCAGTAGTATTGTTTCCTATAGAAAACCACTCTTTGTTGCTCTCCGTCAGAATTGTGTGCACTCTGTAACATCTTTGGCCGTCATAGTCCAGTTTTCCTAATAATTCTGTTAATGTGCTGTGAAAGACTGGAAATTTGAGTATGTGGTGGGTATGATACTAAATTGTGATTTGGTGGGATGTACATAACAGCTTTCAACATTTGAAGATAGTAGTTCTTGATATCCTCTTAAGGAAAATTTGCCTACAAATTTGAAGCTGGAATGTCACTGGAGTAACTTAAAAGAAATCACTATACTTGGCTTTTTAAATTTTTGATACGTATGTTAAGAATTGGGTACAAATTGAAATGTCTGTACTGATTCCTGACACAACCAATAAATCTCAATTATAAAAGGAAAAAAATGATGACTGATATACTGATACACTTACCAGTTCTGTCACATGCCTGTATTACATTTATTTTGTGTATTATGTGTGTGCTTTTGTTGAATATACTATGGTGTCTTTCATGTGTTTTCTATTTGTTTAAACAACAAAGTCTTGGTGTGTGTGATCCTCCTGCTCTGGTCCCCACCCCACCCCCTCGAGGACCTGGAACCACAAGTGTGTGTCACTGCACCTGGCAGGTGGGGACTGAGAGCTGAACCTGGGCCTCCCGTGTGGATGCAGTCTGCTAAGTGGCAATAGCTACCCAGTGCACTACTGCAGCTGGGCCCATTTTTCCCCACTTTTTTTCTCCAAAAACCTTTTCATTTTGAAAAAAACACCAAATACATGGAAAAACTGAAAGAAGTGTATATTAATACACATACGCCTACCACATCTAGATTTAATAACTGTTATTTTGCCTTATTTGCTTCATCCATATGCATGTATGTGTATTTTTTTCTTAACTATTTGAACAGATAATTGCTGACATAATGACATTTTAAAATAATTATTTAATTTTATTTATTAATTCACTTATTTTAATTTGACCAGAGAGAGATACACACAGAGAGAGAGAGGGAAAGTGAGAAAGCAAGCCACCAGGTCCAGTATTCGAACCTGGTCAGCCATGTGGGAGTGTCCAGTGCCTTAACCACCATGCCACCTGCTGATCCCCAGACATAATAACATTTTACCCTTTCAAAATTCAATCTGCATCTTCCAGAAATAAGTCTTTCTTTTTTTTTTTTTTTAACATAACCACAATGCCATTATTGCACCCAAGGACACCTACAAAACTCTTCTAAAAGTCATTTAAATATCCAGTTTACCTCCATTTTCAATTTTCCTCAAAATACCCTTAAAGCTGTTTTTTGGGTTTTTTTGTTTGTTTGTTTTTCTGTTTTAAAGAATTATTTATTTAAATTAATTAATTTATTTATTTACTTATTTTGGTGAGGGGGAGGAAGAAAGAGAAAGAGAAAGTGAGAAAGCAAACCACCAGGTCCAGGACTTGAACTGTGGTCGGCCATGTGGGAATCCAGCACCTCAACCACCAAGCCACCTGTTGGTCCCTTGCTTGTTTGTTTGTTTTTTTCTTCTATCATTTATTTATTTATTTTTACATTTTCCTGCAAACATTTACTTTACATATCAAAAAATTTTTGCTCATACTCCATAGTTGTTAACAGTTAATAAACAACTTTCAAAATTTCAAAAAACTGAATTTTAAAGATAATGTTCAAAATATTTGTTATAATTTTGTTTGTGACTCTATAAGAACAGAGACAGTACGGTTTTAAATATTTTTGAGAAAATATTTACATGTCAACTACTCAAACTGTTGAAAAGCAAACAACCAGCACATAATTCACACATAAACCTTCTCAAATTCAGCCCTGCCTACCAAGTATTCTGTGATATACCATCTGTTAGCAAAGATCAGTCTCTTTTTCTTCCTTCCAAGTCTTCCTCAAGATAATTCTCTGGTTGTGGCTGCTCTTTTGCAATCTCTATTGATTACAATGCTGGGCTGGGAAAGTCCAGGTTATTTTTATGGTACAAATTCTTTCATACAGTTTCTCTAATCCTCTCTGCCAGGCAGAACTGTTTATGGTGCCAGGCCATCTTTCCAAGAGCTTGTGCTGGCTTACTTGAGATCAACCTTAGTCCCATAGTTTTCTGATTAATCTTCTGATATGCCATTCCAGTCAAAGTCCTGTCTCATAACGAATATTTCTAATTTCTGATTCAAGGCAACAGGTATTATTAAACTTATGCAAATAACCATTCTGCCACAAAATAAGAATACTCCCAATATTTTCCAATTCTGGAGGGGTCAGGAAGGGAGAAAAGTTTGTTTCCATGGAAAGAAACAAACAAGAAGAAAAAGCATTTTAACAAATTGCTCAATCTATCAACAGTTCAAAAGAAAGCAAAATCCTTGAACTGGGAAAACAGAGCATAGTAAAAACAAATTAGTAATGCTTTACTCAAAAGTCATAAAATTCTATTTTACCCGTCAGTTCAGTCTTATGCAATTCATCTCTCTTCTATTGAATCTGCAGTGTTACTGTGGTCCAACCTTTCCGTTTAAATCCTAGAAGTTAACATGCAACGTTATTATTGATTTTGCTTGTCCTTAGTATTAAGTTGGTCATTTTCTTGGTTGTTTTTGCCCTCTTATTTCTATATGTGTTTAGTTTTCCTGGTAAAGCACTCCTTTTAGAACTTCTTGAAGAGATGATCTGGTGTTGGTAAATTCTTTCAGGTTTTGTTCATCTGAGAATATTTTTATTCTTTCTTCCCATATGAAAGATAATCTTGCCAGGTGACAGTATTCTTGGTTGAAACTGTTTTTCACATAACACTTTGAATATACTTTCCCATTCTTTCCTTGCTCGTATTGTTTCTGATGAGAGGTCTGATGTTAGCCTGATGGGATAACCTTTATAAGTAACTTGATGTTTCTCTCTTGTCAATTTTAGTATCTTGTCTTAGATTTGGCCAGTCTGGCTATGATGTGCCTTGGAGAAGATCTTGGGTTGATTCTATTTGGGGTCATTTGTATTTCTTGGGTCTGGATATATGAATGTCTCTCTAGATTTGGAAAGTTTTCTTCTAGGACTTCATAGAACAGATTATCAATGCCTTTATGAGTTTCTTAATCTTCTGGGATACTGATTTTCTAGATGTTTGGGTGCTTAATAGTATCTAGTATTTCTCATATAGTATTCTCTCGTTTTTGGTTATTTTCTCAGTGTTTTTGGTTGTTTTCTCTAGGTTGGAGGTTTTGCCTTCAACATCTGAGATTCGATCTTCTGCATGAACTAATCTCTTTTAATACTTTAGAGGGAGGTTTTGATTTCCTGTATTGCAGCCTTCATCTCTAGTAGCGCCATCTGATTCTTTTTTATGCTGTGAATTTCCTCTTTCAGATCGTGCATGCACTTCCTCACCTCCTGGAACTCGTTGCCTACTTTCTCCTGCATCTTCTGGAGTTGTCTCTCAGCTCTTGCATCTCGTTTAGTTTTGTCACTATGAATATTCTGAATTCTCCATCAGACATTTCCATGAGTTCCACTGTACAGTCTGCAGACGACGAAGGATTGTTTTTCCTTTCCCTTGGGGGAAGAGATATTTTCTTGGTTTCTCATATTTTTTGTGCTTCTGCAGTGGTTTCTGGTCATTCTGTGGCAAAAATCTTTCCTCTACTGTGTTTTGCAACATTGTATCCACAGAAAGAGATTGAGTTCAGATTTATAAAAAGAAATTTCTTCATTAAAGCAGGAAGTTCAATAAGTGTTGAGGATTTCAATGACCCTGAAAGTATTCAAATGCTTGACTACTGTGTACCTAGGCCTGTCATGACACTCTGTGTGGAGACTTGTCTGAGTGTTTCTGGGGTATAGAAGATGAGGTTCAGAGCACAGCTTCAGTTGCTTTGGTCCCTGAATATGCCAGGACACCTTTTTTTTTTTTTTTTAAAGAGGTTTTGCCTTGGGACCAGCAGTTAGCGTAATGGCTATGTTGCTGGATTCCCACGTAGTCGACCGTGGTTCACGTCCTGGACCCGGTGGCTTAAAACTCACGCCGGGCGCGTGTGCGTGCGTGCCCAAGATCCCGAGAGGAGAATGGAGGAGAAGGGATTGCGGCGTGACCATCCCCCCTGGGGGGTGATTTCTCGCTTTCTGTCTCTCTGTCTCTCTCTGTCTGTCTGGCGAGCGCACGCGCCCTGTAGCGAAAAACCTCTAAAAAAAAAAAAGAAAAAGAGGTTTTGCCTTAGGGTATGTGCATTTGCCAGAGAAAGAGACAGAGACAGTCAGTGAGAGGGAGGTGAGAAATCATCCCCTAGGGGAATGCCCAAGCTGCAATTCCTTCTCCATTCTCTTCCTGGGATCTTAGGCACACACACACATGCACCTGGCATGAGTTTCAAGGCTCCAGGTCTGGGACTCAAACCATAGCCATTTGGGAGTGAAATGACATAACCACTAAGCCATCTGCTGTTCACTAAAGCTATTTTTTAAAACCAGGATTTGACGTCTCTTGTCTCTTTAAGTCTAGAAAGTTTCCTTGCTCTTTCTTTCCCATGATATCAATGTTTCAGAGATATTGGGTCAGCTCTTCCACAGTTCATGCCACTCTGTATAGTTTGCTGGGGAATCTACATTTTTAGATGCAAGATTCTCATTATGAGAAGGTATGGAGGTGATTTACTTTTTTTTTGCCTTCTTTTTTTTTTTAAGAGAGATTTTTGCTATAGGACACACGTGTTCGCTGGAGAGACAGAGAGACAAAAAACAAGAAATCATCCCCCAGGGGGGCTAGCCATGCCATAATACCTTCTCCTCCACTCTCCTCTCAGGATTTTGGGCATGCATGCACATGTGCCTGGTGTGAGTTTTAAGCAGCCAATCTGGGACTTGAACCATGCAGTCGACTATGTGAGTCCAGTGATTTAACCATTATGCCATCTGCTGGTCCCTTGGGAGTGATTTTCTAGCAAATTAAAAATTTTGAAAAACTCATCAAGAAAACAGAGTCTATTATTTCATTTTGGTATTTATTTATAACTTCCTAATGATACAGCCATGATGATGGAGAGAAGAATGGTTAAGAGCATGAGACCCTTAAATTACACACAGCCCAAGAGGATAATGTGACTTGATTAAATTCCATAGCTATAAAAGATATTAGTATAAGAAATGAAGAGAGTCTCAGGTTGATCATTCAAATAACTTACAGATTACTGACAAGGATTCTGAGCTAAATATTTGATGCCTACCTGCAAATGGATTCCGTAATATCTTTGCTGATGTTGTCAATAATTTTCTTACTGCTTTGTGAAGTTCTTTTCTTGCTTGATAGGCAAACCCTAAAATGATTACAAATGTAAATAGAACCAAGTATATATTCAACGCTATGCTCCAATACTTCATAAAGGAATGATGAAATAAACTCCAATTTTTTTAACAAAGAAAATATGAAACAGCATCTTTGTCTTTTTATTGTCACTATCAACTTAATTATATACTCTGCAAGAGCACAGAGCTCTAATTTCCAAGACTGCTCTCTGAGTCAGGGAAAAAGTAAAACCAAAACCAAACAAAAACTCTATCTCACTAAAGATAATAAACATCTTTATATACAACACAAGATTAGCAATACTCTGGAAAATTTCTGCTATGAGGGGTCCACCTCGAAAGGAATTTGGAGATAACTTACTAATGAATTAGACCTCATTACATAGGTATCCTATGTCATTGAAACTGTAAATATGCCAGAAAAGCAGGCTGAGATGTGGAGAGGAGATAGAATAATATACATGAACAGGACAGCGTGGTGACAGAGACAGAGTGGTGAGTCAGCTCACAGGGGAGCCTTCGAGCTCGCCTTCAAGCTCGCCTTGCTCAGGGAACACAATGTGCTGAGAGGCACCTTCTTGCTCACAGCGTAGGCAGAGCGGCTATAAGTCAAGTGTAACGACTCACCAAGCTGCCATATCTTAATGAAAACATACTGTGCTACTCTAAAATTTCATGCTCATCAAGAGACTATCTGGTGAGGCTTCTGTGTGACCTAAATACTGAGAAGTGGAATGTCCTAACTAAAAAAGACAAGTTTGCTACCCATTGTGACAGGTAATAATAAAAAATAAATTGGCATTCATTATTTATGAATCCACCTCGTGCATCTGGATTCTAACTATCCCTGAGCCAGATGACAAAAGCAGGTTTGGTGCTTGTCACACAGAAGGCCAGTCCCTGAACTGATGGCCCATCAAGGTGTGGACTGCTGGGCCCAGACTAAATCTGCCAGCTAGCCTTCACTCAGTTCTTTTTATTTTTTCCCTACCCAACTGAATTTTACTTGTTGCATAATAAGCCATCTAACATCTTTCAGGTGAAAAAATACTAACTTTGAATAAATATATCACAAAATGAATTAGAGCCCAATAAAAATTACCTTTGGGGAGGGAACACAATTCTACTCAATTAAGGAAAACATTTGTGTAGACCATAGATTAGTTTATTTCTAACACCCATCAGGCCATGAATTCATAAGGATAGGTTCCAGAAGCTCAGGCTCCTTTCCATTGGTTCTCACAAAGTGTGCTTCTCTGGGTAGAGCAGGCTGGCGCTTTAGTTGAACCCAAGTACCTTTCTCTTTGGCTTCCTTCTTTTTCTGATCATTTTCCTTCACACATTTTAGCAAGCTATCTCTGCTCTTAGAATGCTTAATATGCTCAATATGTACATTAATAAGCACAAACAAGAATCTTGCCCTTAACTTGTTTGTTCGCAACAATGCTAACAGCATGCTAAGTGACACTGTAGACTCTTCCAGTGTTGCCACAGTAACATTTGTGGGGTATTCCTTTTTGAACAGTGCCCTTGATGTCTACAGTGTCACCTTTCTTATAGATTCACATGTATGTTACCAAAGGAACCACTCCATGTTTTCTAAAAGGCCTAGAGAACATATATCTGGCGCCCCTTTGTGTTTGTCACTTTGGTGAGTTACTGGAAGATGGCGGTTACGGCCAAAAGGAGGCCCTCACTCAGTTTGAAGAGAATTGCAAACTTGGGATAAACACAAAAGTCCAACATGTGGTCATCATTAATTCTTTAGGAACTTGGTTCTTACAGGGTTTAGTGATTTTGAATCAACTAAATTTATTTTATTGATACTGTGTTTTCAACCAAATCACTTTTTTTTCAATTTTATTCATTCATTCATTTATTTTAATTTAACCAGAGAGACACACACACAGAGAAAGAAGGAAAGTGAGAAAGCAAGCCACCAGGTCCAGGACTTGAACCATGGTCGGCCATGTGGGAGTGTCCAGCGCCTTAACCCCTATGCCACGTGCCGGTCCCCCAACCAAATCACTTTTAAATTCAATAACTAGCAATGTTCTTCACAAAGAAGGGATTACTTTTAAATAAACTTACCATAATTTTCTCTTTTATTTAAAGAAACTGTGTGCACATATATATATGACTTCATTTTTTCTGTTTCTACCACTTCAGTATCTAGTGTCAAAGACTTCTTCAGGGCCAAAACTTCATATGTAAGAAATAAAGAACCTCTAAAAAACATACAAAAAGTTCATCATCAATACATGTTCTAAGTGTAACACAAAAATTACTCTTCTTCAGTATTCTTTCACAGTGGACTTCTAAAAAGTTCATTCATTCACTTCTCCTACAAGGGAGAGAAGGGAGGGAGAGAGACAGTCACTAACACCAGGGCCTTCACACTGCAATCCGCACCCTGGCCTCAGGCAGCCCAGATCACATGTGTGTGTGCACAGCTGCTCAGAGAGGTTCCGGGATGTGAACCTAGGACCTTTCCCACGCGGTCCAGTTGTGACTCTGTGACACCAGGCCCTGAGCTTTTTTTTTAATAGGGAAATACAACCTAGAGTAATGTGCATACAATACACACATATACACTTCAGTTCAATAAGTAACAATAACAAATAACTACATAACCATATCAAGGCAAGAAATAGAAAGTTAGTATCTCTGAAGCCACGGTGCCCCTTCCTGATCCTGACCTATTCCCTCATCTCTGTGATTATTATTTTTATCAAAATAACACCCTTACTTTAGAGTTTTACCACCTTCGTAAACATCCTTAAACAACAGAGCTTAGTCTTCCTTGTTTCTGAACAAAATGTGAATGGAATCATACTCTTATGTGCTTTGGTTTAGCTTTTTATTGTTATTTCTTCCTTGAGAGAGAAGAAAAAGAAAAAAAAAGAGAGGGAGAAGAATCTCCAGAAGGGTCTTCATGCCAAGATCCACACTCAGTCTCAGCTGGTCTGGCTCACGGCACACAGTGTGCGCCTGCCACCCTCAGGGAGGCCCTGGAATGCAAACTCAGGACTGTTCCCAGTTGCATAACCACTGTGCCACCTCCTGGTCCCTTAGTCCCATATTTGTGTGAGTCTCCCAAGTTGTTGCATGTAAATGTACTTCCTGCATCTGTGTTTTACATGGTATATAATTCCTCACTACAAGGAGATGCCACAACTTACCTATCACTTTCGCACAGATGGGCGTTTAGGGCATTTCCAGTTTAAGCCTATTATGAACATTGTGTTGCCCATCCTCTCTGTCTACACTGCCCACGTGCAGATGTCCTCTGAAGTATGTATTTACAAGGGTTACGTCCTGACAGTCTGCATGTTCAACTTGACTAGACAACACCGAACAGTGTTTTTTTAAAGCATAGCTAATTTGTCCTACCTTTATGAGCACATCAAAGTTTCTTCTTTCCTAAGAGCCATACCTAAAGTCAGTTTTTAAATGTTGGTGGTTGTGTCCCCCCGGCCAGACTTACACACTCCCCAAGTCCAGACACAAAGGCTACCCTCCACTGCATTCTGCTCAGGGCCGTCAGCTACCCTAGGTCTGCTCCTGGCCTTACATTCCACCCTGAAGCAGATGAGACAGAAAGGCCAGGACTTCGCCAGCCGTGAGCGATGAGGAACACAGAGGAGGTGCTAGAGACCTCTCCTCTCTGAGGGGTTTAGCTGAGCAGTCAAAAAGGAGCACACAGATTGAGTACTTCTATCTTCCCTGAAAGACAAAATTCTTTACTAAAAATTATGTGAATAATTTTCACCAAATTCTGAAACACAAAGGCAGACAAAGAAACTGCATTAAGGGAACGTGTCCAGACATTCTCCTTTGCCCCGGGGGGTGAAAAGGAAAAATCACGTAGGCCAGTGCAGTCGGGGCGCTGCGGCATGACCCTAGGAGAAGGCTCTGGGTTCAAGTGCCTGAGAGCCTGCCTGCCTGAAGGGCTGGGGAAGGACTGTGGCATGAGGACTGTCAAGGGAGCCTTTCTCTCCCCCAGTCTTTCTCTCTCTCTCAGAAATAAACTTTTTTTAAAAAAGGGGAAAAAAAATCACCCAAATATGTTTTGCCTTCTATTCCATTCCATTTCATGAAGAACTTTGGACAAAATGCCAAGTAGCATCTAAGACTTGATTTTATATTTATACTAGTGAGAAAAACTATCTACGAATACAACAGAGAAATATTAGACATGTACTTAATATGCAGACTTGAAACAATGAGGTAAAAGAATGAAAAATAACCATTTGGAGGTCAGCAGGTGGTATGGCAGTTAAAGTGCTGGATTCCCACGTGGCCGACCTTGGTTTGAGTCCTGGACCTGTGGCATAATAATAATAATAATTATAAATAAAATTAATAACGTTGTAAAAAAAGGAAAATAGTAACTTTTGGAGTGTCATTCCTGTCATCAAGCATGTGCCTCTAAAGGAGCGTGAGACAGGAGACGCCGATCTGCTGCTCTTCACAACCTGCCTCAGTCGCCTTCCCTAACAGCTTGGCAGCAATTTAAAGGATTTTCTTTTTGATTTCTATTTTTAATTTTTTTTTTTTTTAATTTTAAGAGGGCAGGTGTGTTTGTCAGAGAGTGACTGGAGGGCAGGTGGGAAAGCATCCCCCAGCGGGCCACGGTCATGCTACCATCCCTTCTCCATCTCACCATCCTGCTGGGATTCTGAACACGTATAAACACAGGCCAACAGGCCAAGCACGCTTTTCAAGTCGTCAGAGCCAAGGTCTGAACCATGGTCAGTCATATGGACTTTCAGCTACTTTAGCTACTAGGCTTGTAGCCCAGCAGCCAAGGTCAACCTTAAAGGATTTTCAAAAAAATTTAAGAAGAGAAAGAAAGAAAGAAAAAGTCCTAGAAGGTATGTCTCACCAGAGAGAAACAGAGAGGGGGAGAGAGAAGAGGAGGGAGAAAGCACCTCCACAGGGGATGGTCACACAGCAATCCCTTCTCTATTTATCATTTCAGGGTTTGGGGCATGTGCTCACACAAGACCAACACGTATTTCAGATTTCAAGCCTCCCAGCCTGGGACTCAAGTCACACAGCTGGTCACACGGGATGGAGCTGCCCTAATGCCCATACCACCAGCGTGCCCCAGAATAATTTTAACTGATTTTTACCTTCCTCACCCACTTTAGAATCTAATACATGGAGTCTTCAGAAAGTCCATAGGAAATGCACATTATCAAAAAAAAAAAACAAAAAAACAAAAAAAAAACTACACATGGATTTTAAAAGGTTTTTGCATCAAATAAATTAGTACTTTAAATTTCACTCTTCCACCAATTTTTTGAAGTTCTCTTGGGTGAGAAGTGATGTTTCAATGTGTAAAGGCCTCGGTGCCTGCTCTGAGTGTGCCAGGGACATTCCTCATAGCAACAGGGCCAGGGAGGCAGAATCCCTGTCACGCACGTGGTCACGACAGAAAGCATCCTTTACAGGTAGAGTCACAGGAGCAAGCCAACTTTTAAGTGGTAGCATCAGTGATTAAATCCATCTGTTTGACCCTGAAATCCATACCCTTTGAGGAACCCATGCTACCTGTAGAGCATTTGCAATGAGATTTCAAGAAGAAATATAATGAAACAAATTAATATTGTAAAATTGGTAACTTACCCTAAAATAAGTGATCCAGTGAGCTTTATTATATTTCCTTCAAAAAGAAAGGAAAAAAGTCAGTGTGATAAATTTCATTTTAAAACTGTGACAGGAAATAGGCAACAGTGCAAGTCTTAATTGATCTCATATATAATTGGATACGAAGTTACGATACTTTTCTATTAATATGATCGGTTATTACCAGCACATGGCTTCCTAACCCCAGATGCAAATCAACCAATCCATAAGCACCGGGCACCAACACATCATTTATATTTAGGCCATTTCCTACCCATTCTCCCTTCCCTCCACGCTCCAGGCTGCTGCCCCCGACCAAATCACTAGAGACCCTGGTACCTGGTCCAGTCCTGACACTGCCAGGACTACGGTGCTTCCACAGAAACCTACGTCTAGGAAGCCACTTCCCTCCCAAATACTCTAAATGAACAACCAATTACATGAAGGAGAATTCTATCACTTTTTTTTTTTAAGAGAGATTTTTGCTATAGAGTACGTATGCTCATCAGAAAGACAGAGAGATATTGGAAAACGTTTTCCAAGTTCTAAACGAAAATTGACAAATAAATTTATAGAATATGACCTATATATTAAATGGGGCTACCTACATACAGCACTTACCCACCTATTACCTATAATTACTTTGGGAAGCAATCATTCTGTGCCCCTACTTGAGAAGCATAATCCCTCAGGATAGTCCTAGAAGTGATGTAGTGGTAAGGCACTGGACTCCCACACGGCCAACTGTGGTTTGAGTCCTGGACCCAGAGGCCTGACACTCATACTGGGTGCGTATGTGTGCATGCCCAAAATCCTGAGAGGAGAATGGAGAAGGGATTAGATGTGGCCGTCCCCCCAGGGGATGATTTCTCACTTTCTCTCTCTCTCTGCCTCTTTCTCTCTCTCTGGTGAGCACACATGCTCTACGGCAAAAATCTAAAAAAAAAAAAAAAAAGCTAATTGCTCATTCGATACATACATTCCTTGGTCTTATACAACACAAACTGATTACAGTCTAAATTTATTCAAATTCCTAGGCGACTCTAGAACAAGCCATGCAACCCACTGGTAGCTAATCAGGCACAGCGGAAGTCTACAGGAAGGGATCTTTCCCCGGATAAAAAGATAAAACTTCATAAGCTGCTTTGGTCCTACATTATTGATGTCCAGGGATTCAGCAACTATCTTGAGACTATCAGGACACTGAGGAAAATGAAGCAGGAAGACAGGAATATTGCTAAACTGCAATTCCTGCCCTATATTGTCTCTGCCTTGACTTCTAATAATTTAAGAAAAATAAAAACTCACTCATTCAAGCCACTGTCAGTTTCTGTTGCTGCTGGGAGCACAAGCCTAAGTGACACATTACTCATGGCGGTTAGGTACTGAGCCAGAGCGTAGAGGCCTACCCAGCCTTTAACATGTGGACACGTCAAAGCAGTCCTTTGTTCGGAGTTTCACTCTGATAAATTTCCAACTTTGTTCTGCTGGATAATGAGAGGAAAAAGCTCCCTTCTCCATCCCTATTTATCCCTTATTTAAAACAGATAAGATGAAAAGGATCTACTGTAGACATAGATCTTAAAGGTCAAAAGGAGACTCCACAAGGAGAGCCACTTTGTGTTACTTGGTATCATGTCCTCAGGGACTAGAATGGGACCTAGGCATAGCAGATGGTCAATAAATATTTTCATTTACTGTCACAGGAATGAAAGATAATCTAGGCCAAACTTCTCATTTTGAACATAAAGGAAATAATGCTCAGAGAAACTGAGTGAGCATTCTTCCACTCAGTAAGTACTATTTGGACACTGACTAAGATGCTCATATAATAACACATCGCGAGGATGTAACGCAAACTGGATAAAACACGGCCCTCACAGAATCTGCAGTCTTCGGGAGAAGTCAGATAATGAGCCAAGTTCTGAGTCAGCCTACAGAATGACAAGTGATCGATGTAAGCTGGCCTAGGTGTCAGAGAAAGCTTCCTGGAGGGAGACGACGACGGTGTGAAGAGTGGATTGGACCTGCATCCCAAGGCCCAGGAGGGCAAGGGCCCCGTTCTCCTTGCTCGCCATTTAATAAATACCTACTGAATGAGAATGCAGTGACTCTTAAGTACAGAAGGATGAGTGTGAAATTAGATAGGAAGAGTATTTCCAAGAGAAAGGGGTACATACGGCTTTGGGTCTACACATCTGGTGTGAACTCAGGACAGAAATTAGTACACAAAGACATAAGTGAATCTGAGACTTAGCACATGTTAAATAAGTTCTTGTGGCCCATCTGGAAGCTTAGCCACAATTCCATCACTACCTCTGTAAGAAAACACTGCTGTTCAGACTACTCACTGATGTCTCTCCAGTATGTGTCACGTTTTGGCGGGGGAGTAGAAGTTCTGATTCTTCTGCAACAGATGACACAATAAGCAGCCAGGGACATTCTGTGCAGGTAGAAAAATCATAACAGGTTTAATTTTAGCACCTCACTAAAAATGCTTTTCAACTCTAAGAACATGCTACCATCATAGTGGGTTGCCCACAGAGTTAAGAGTTTTCAAGACTAGGAAAAAACTTATCAAAAAAAAAAAATATCTCCCTTAAAACTGCAAACATGGAGCCAGCAGGTGGTGTAATGGCTATGTCGCTGGACTCCTAAGTAGTCAACCGCGGTTTGAGTCCTGGACCCAGTGGCTTAAATTCACGCCGGGTGCGTGTATGAGAGGCGAATAGAGAAGGGATTGTGGCCTGGTCATCCCTGCTGGGAGGCGATTTCTGACTTTCCTTCTCACTGTCTCTCTCCAGGGATTGTACACGTCCTAGGGGGAAAGAAATCTAAAAATAAAAATAAAAATAAAAAAAAATCCACAGAAGTAGTGAACTTTTTTCTAGCTTCCTTAGAATGGATCCCCAAGACGGTTTGTCTTTGGAATTTACTTCATCTCATTGTTGTCTGCCTGCGAAGGAGGAATGACTGTTGGCCAATAATTCGTCCACTGTGTGAAGATGACCTACATATGATATGATTGTTTCTAGGCCAGTTCAGCATCCTAGAACCATATCGGATTGCTTGGAATGAGATGTTTTGTTTCTTTTTCTTTTGGACTAAGGGAAAAAGGTCTTGAAGGACTCATGTGAGAAATGGTTCTTTGGTTCAACATATTAAAAACGTCTAGCAGTTTTACAGCAATTAGGGGGAAATTACGTGGTGTACACATGCAAAAAATATCTGTTAGAGTTAACACAAAATAAAAAGGTTTTTAATGTTTCTTGATTGGGATTCTACGCCATGACTAAGCAAACTAACTTAAGCAACAGGTAGACTTGAAAGGCCATGGTTTTAAGGGTCATTGTCTCTCACTTTCTTAGTCCTTAGTGTGGTGCCGCTGCTTCTCTGTAAGACACAGATGGTGGGGGAATGGCTTTAAGAATGTAATGAATTAGGTGCTCATAAAACCAGGGCAGAGCTCACACACAGACTTGTACTTTTTAAAGTTATTACATGAAAGCTGCACTAAAAACTGCGAAGCAAATATCACCCCTGCGCTTCTTTCAGCCCTGCCACCTACTACTAAAACAGTCAACTGCAAATTATACACACACCCTTTAGTTACTTCCTGGCCTAAAAATCCTTTCTAGTATGAACTTAACTCACCTCTTTCAAGTTCATTTCCTTTCCACCAAGTCCTGGGTATAAATCTGAGTGCTCTGGAAACACACTTCCACGTCCTCACTGTAATTCTGGATTTCCGCAAAGGATGTCCCATTCCTAACTCCTCACACTCAGCTCTGAGGCTCGATTATTTCTAGTGCTCCCTCTCTCCATCTTGACAAACTGCCAACCTCCTGGTGTCCCTGGAGCCAGCAGTCGCCTGTGGCTGCCCTTGCTTCCCTGCCCAGTCCCGGCTCTGGACGTCTCTTCTACCTCTCTGCTCACCTGAACATCCCAGAACACCCCTTACCCTCTGCCACAGCCCAAACCTGACATGGCTCTCCCTTTTCCAACACCTGGACAGCCAGAATGCAGGTGGCAAAGGCCAATTTGGGGTGGGCTTCCAGAAGTACTTTTGCACCCCTAGTCAGTTCTCTTCTCATTGCTACCCTGACTATTCTAAACAATCAACTCTCTCAAGCCTCCTCCACTCCCTCCACCCCTCAGGCCATCTGTCACCTACAGCACTCAGAAAATTAAGACTATGAACCCTTTCAACCTCAGCCCTCACGCCTACAAGCAGGAGACAAAATCTGTTATTACGGGACTTCTTTTTTTTCCCCTTTTTTCAAAGGGGGAGGTCTTTTTTTTTTTTTTTTTGGAGAGGTTTTCGCTATAG